TTGGAGACACTGACTGTTTAAATGAGAAAGGGATTTAGATTGAAGCCTGAGTGAACAGTTTTGGAAGAGATATGAGCTTTTGCAGGTGAGCTATAGTGTTGTGCTAAACTGTAAGAGTGTTTTGCCAAATGATCTTAGAGTTTTGAGAATGTAATTTCTGTTTCAAGAAATGAGCCAAACCAATGGAGAAAAACTGTAAGTCCCCCTTGTTCTGCCAAAACAGCTCTGACCCATCAGGGCATGGACTCCACACGACCTCTGAAGGCGTCCCGTGGCGTCTGGCACCACAACGTTGGCAGCGAGGTGGAGCCTCCAAGGATCGGACTTGTTTGTCCCACAGATGCTCGATCAAATTGCGATCTGGGGAATTTGGGGGCCAAGTCAACACCTGGAACTCCTTCTCATGTCCCTCAAACCACTCATGAGCAATTTTTGCAGTGTGGCTGGGCGCATTATCCTGGTGAAAGAGGCCACTGCCATTGAGAAATACAGTCCACATGAATGCCAGGACCCAAGGTATCCCAGCAAAACATTTCCCAGACCAGCACACTTCCGTGTGCTGCTATGCAGCCCCATACACAGCAGGCTGTGATGCACTCTGTGTTCTGACCTTTCTGTCACAGCCGGCATTAACTTTCTCAGCAATTTGTGCTACAGTAGCTCTCCTGTGGGATCAGACTAGACAGGACAGCCTTCGCTCCCCATGAGCACCAGTGAGCCTTGGGCCCCCGTCACCCCAATGCCAGTTCAGCGGTTGGCCTTCCTTGGGCCACGTTTGATGGGTACTGACCACTGCATTCTGGGAGAACGCCACAGGACCTGCCATTGTTGTCACAATTTGGCCCTTGTCAAAGCTGCTCAGATATTTATTCTTGCCATTTTTTCCTGCTTCCAACACACCAGCTTCAGGAACTGGCTGTTCATTCTCTTGCCCAATATATAATGGTACCTTTGACAGGTGCCATTATAATGAGACAATGTTATTCACTTCAACTGTCAGTGGTTATAATGTTACGGCTGATCGGTGTACATTGCAATTGTTACAATTATAATACAAATTTTCCAAAAGGCTTTGGACTCAATTGTCATAAAAATATTGTATTATTATGTAGCCACACATTCATACAAACCAGCTCATTTCGGTACAGCTTAGAGCTTTGATTACCGTGACAAGGTTTGTTCCGTAAGTGACCCAGCCCTTATTTTGTACTGGTCCAGCTCTGACCTCAGCTTCTCCATCTCTTCAGCCAGCTGAGACTTTTGGAGGTTAGCAGAATAGGTTCAGGTTAAGATTACAGATTAAGTTAAACTATGATAAGCAACAGTCCTGTAGAATGTTTTAAATGCCTCACTTGCATGTACTTTTGGACAAAAGTGTCGGCCAAGTAAATGTAACTGTGAATATATAATTTCCTACATGCACGTTAAGGTCTTGCTTATGTGATTCTTGCTACTACAAACACTCTAATCAGTGCCAAAATGATTATTTCACTAATAACTCTAATATGACAAGCAAAATACTTAAAATGTCCAACGTAAACCTACTTTTTCATGGAGCGAATCTTCCAGCTGTTTTCTGTAGTTCTCCGAGTCCTGAATTAAGACATTCTGGGGCACGGGGGAGGGGAGGCGTTGGGGGGTAGCAGACATTTCCAATCTAGACAAAATGATGGGCTCGTAAATCTGCCCCATGCGTTTTTACGTCCACTTAGAGTTGCAGCCTCTCTTCTGCTTTTTATGTGCATTGTTAAGCGCATGGCTGCAGATGACGGACAATCCCCCCCCCACCCCCCGCTGCAGGCCCATCATGGCTCACCTTCTCCTCCAGGGCCGCCATCCTCTCCTTCAGGTGGAGCTGCAGTCGCTCGTTGGACTCGGTCAGCAGCCGGTCCACGGTGTCCGACAGACGCTTGTTGTGCTCCTCGTTCATCTTCTCCCTCTGCCGGGCCTGGCGACCCCCACCCAAACCCACCCCACCCCAAGTGAAAGTGCGGTAACGTACTGGACGTCATTGACCTTGCGTACTGAGAGCTGAACGATAGCCAGGGGCGAGGGGTTTCAAACTCCAGTCCTCAGGGGCTGTAGGATCTACCAATTTAGACCTAGAAAACCTGGAGTTAGCTAGTCTTATGTGAAGAAATGACATCAGACAGGAAACTGAGAAGAGGAACCGGAAGAATTGGGCTCTGGAAGACGGGAGTTTTCCACCCTGAATGTGAGCGCCTCCCTGTGGCCCAATGCAGGAAGAGCTCACAAGCCATGCCCGGACCTGTGAGGAACAGGTGGAGAGCACTAGCGTGCTTCTGCCATGCAGCCAGGCGGCCTTCCCGGCCCTGATCAGGTGGGTGGGGGAGGGGAGGGGGAGGGGGGGGGAGAGGCACGCTTCCCGGCAACTCACTCTTTGCAGCTCCTGGTTGCGCTCCTCCAGTTGGCCCTCCAGCTGCCGCATGCGCTCCTCGATGCTCCCGTGCCGCTCCTCCGCCTGGCAGAGGGAGAGAGCAGAGGGGAGGGGGGGCGGGGGGGTGGGTGGGTTGGGTCCACCGTTTAGCAGCCGCGTCGGTGATGGGAGTGCAGGCAAGGAGGCGACAGGAGAGACAAGCCAAGCGACTAGGTCTCGGCCAGCTGAAGCTCCACGAGGCTGGGGGCTCAGCTGGATCGCAAGGGGGGGAGGGGGTCAGCCGGACCGGAAGGGGGGGGTCAGCCAGACCACATGGCTACAGGTGCATCGGCTGCGGAGGTCTGCTTACGGGTCGGAGGAAGCTACGGGCTTCGAGTGTCAACCAGCCAGTGTCATGCAACGTCCCCACAGATCCAACACAAACCTGCCCTCTTTCCACAGAGACGGACACACACAAGCTGGAGGAAGCAGGAGACCATGGAGGGGCTTGGCTTCGGCAAACAGAAATAAAAACGGGGGCAGGGGCGGGCAAACGTCTGATGGATTCTTAATTAGCAACAGTAAGCAAAGTCCTGTGCAGCTACCTTCCTAAGGATGGAGGTCATGTCTTGGAGTTTAGCTTCCATAACATACTGATAATCATCAGCAGAGGAAGAGGAGCCTGAGTCAGACTAACCGGCCGGGGGGCAGGGGGAGAGGAGAGGGACAAATGCGAGAGTCAGAACGGAGAACAGACGGATGGACGGACAGACGGACGAACAGACAGACAGATGGACGAACAGACAGAGAGACAAATGGACAGACAGACGGACGGACGGACGGACGGACAAACAGACAGACACGGACAGAGACAGACAGAGAGACAAATGGACAGACAGACGGACGGACGGACGGACGGACGGACAAACAGACAGACACGGACAGAGACAGACAGAGAGACAAATGGACAGACAGACGGACGGACGGACGGACGGACGGACAAACAGACAGACACGGACAGAGACAGACAGAGAGACAAATGGACAGACAGATGGACGGACGGACAGATGGACGAACAGACAGACACGGACAGAGACAGACAGAGAGACAAATGGACAGAGAGACGGACGGATGGACAGACAGATGGACGGACAGAAGGACATAGTGACAGACAGAGACAGACAAACAGACGGGCAAACGGATGGACAGACGGACAGATGGACAGAGAGACGGATAGGCAGACAAGCACTGTGTGGTCTCTGATAGATCATGCATATACAAAATCTTAAATTATTGTTAGGAATAAATCCAAGTGGGGAAAGCTAAAACTAGATAAAAACTAAATTAAAAAAATCATACAGATGGGAATGATATGCATGTATGTGTGTTACTCTGCTGATAAAGCAGGTACCATTCCATCTGATAGTGAAGGCGAGTCTTTAGCCCACATGTGTGTGTCTGGTACGGTTCTTAGCCTTTAAGACACTGAGTCGATTAGCAAAAATTAATTTTAACTATATTCATATTACTGGGAAAAAAAATCATATGACAGCCAGAAGGCAGTTGGTTATATTTCCATTGTTAAGTGACACCAGTGCTTCACAATGTAAAGACTGGGCAGCCTATGCGTGTGTGTGACGTGGGAGAGTGACCACAGTCACATGACAGGGCCCCGTGGTCAGCACAAACCAATCAGGGCCACAGATGCCACATGCAGCCACCTGACATCAGATATGCCATGTGAAGATCGCAGGTCCTGTACAGTACAGTCCCACTTACCCTGGTGCAATGCAGACCTGACACTCATTAAACAATCTTATACGTCTCTAAGTTTTCAAAAATATATCCTTTGTGCGAGTGTAAAATGAGATGCGTTATTTTATTTCCCTGCAGTCATTACATTTTTGTACCCTCCCAGCTCCCAGCTCCCAGCTCCCAGCTAATGGTATGTGAACTGTCTGGGGGTCATCGAGGACTGGGTTGGAAAACACTGTCCTAAGGACAGCCTGAAGTTTCTCCTTGATGAAATGATGTGGACTCTGTTACCTTATTAGACCAGCTGCTGAGATATTAGGTAAGAGAATATCAGCTGGCTACACTTCTTTCTTGGAACAGAGACATGACAGAATCAAAATGAACATGGTCACCTTCCATGGGAACAGGCCTGTGGTCACATGACTTTAACTAGAAGAGGGAGGGAGCTGTTACCTTGGTGAGGGCCGCAATCCTCTGGGCCAGCTCAGCCTCCACCTCGGGCAGCGTCTCCGCCTTCCTCATGGTCTGCTGCAGCTTCTGCTCAGCCAGCTCCAGCCTCTCCTGCAGCTGCCGGTTCTTCTCCTCCATCTACAGATGGATGGGGAGAGTTTACTCCTGTTCCAACTAAGGTGATTGCACAACCTTGAAGAAATGCTCTAGTAGTGATAGGGAGAAGAACACCTATATTGAGTCTGATTAAAGACCGAGTCAAGACCAAGACCAAGACCAAGACCAGAGAAAGTGGTCCAGGAGAATGTTATTTTGGGCCAATGTATGTTGTGGATTATACGTAGATGGTAAGAAAATAAAGACCCAATTGACTTGACACTTGACTTAAAAGTAAAATTAAATTTAAGCATGACAATCCTTTGATCTCTTCATTAGTATTTAGTCACAAATACCCAACATTGTGTCACTACTGATCAAATTTTCATTTGATCTACTTATCAGTGTGAGTTCCTGTACGAATAAGTCAAAGTAAGTTTTCACTGGTTATACTGTTTGTATGAAATGTAAACCCAGTGCACACTGTAATTGTAGCGTGCATACACCCAGCCCTTAACACGTAACTGTAATGTAACTGTAGTCAGGATGAACAATGGAGAAAGAAGAATAATCTCTGAGTATGCCTGCGGTTTCATCTAAAGCTGATACTGTAATGATAAGAGAAAACAATAAAAAATTGCCATGAAAACAGCAGGTTTCATAATACCTGTGTAACTATAGCAGGGGTTTTTGGGAAGAACTACCCAAGTGAAACCTAAATGGTAATCACACTCATTCTGGTTCTAACAATATCCATTGTACTGAGCATTTTAGAACTTGCAGTGCAGTGAAGTGTGGTTGCATGCAAGACAATCACACTTGTGATTAATGTGGTCAAATCAAATAGTGACTGAAAATTACATTGTGTCTGTTCTGAAGGGATTCCCAAAGTAGCACTGCACTCTGGGACAGTCTTTTCAAAAGCAAATAAAATAAAATAACTGCAGTATACAGGCAATTCAACAGATATAAATAATAGAAGATTTTTATTTTATTAATTGTATTTTGTTTTATTATCGTGTAGGTGGAATGAGCAAGTTTATCTCTTGGAGTGGGTGGGTTGGACATGCTGCACAAATTCTAGCTCTCTCTTCACTGATTTCTGCATCTATGGATGATGCCTAATAGATTTTTTTTTTTTACTTTTTCCCTCCAACTCTTGGCAATGAGACTAATCAACATCTCAAAGCTTGTTAAGCTCTGTGATACGCTTCTCATCAAACACCCTGCAGCGTTTGATGTCAGGAATCTCCTTCCCTTTTCCGGCGACTGCTAGGCAACCGCTGCGCCGGGGACAGATGTGCCGGTTTCCGCGGCACTGGTTAGCTGCACTAATCATACAAAATCCTATTTAATCAGTGCGTGTAGCAAGTAGGGGCTCCGTGGCTCTTGAACAAGCACCTTCAGGAGACCCGGGGGACTACCAGACCCCGGAGCGCCTCTGCTTGAAATATATCCAGTGTGCGGCCCATGTTTGTTGGCATGGCAACAAGCAACGGCACCTGGTTCAGTGACATGTTCTGAAGCCGTTGGGGCCTTCAATAGATAAACGATCCTTGGAGAACACCCCCCCCCCCCCAAAAAAAAAGAAGACCTTATCTGAGTCTATGGCTTTGTGAGCAAAGTACCGGGGTCTCCTCACCTGTCTCAAGAAAGCCTCCTTGTTGGCCAGCTCATTCTCCAGCTTGTCACTGATGTCGTGCAGTGAGGTGGACTCCCGCTGGGCGCTGAGGTAGCGCTTCTCCAGGGTGACGATGCGCTCTTCCATGTCCTCCTTCTGACACATGGCCTGAACGATTGCACCACCTGATGTCACGGATGTGCGTCCACGTCCATCGCCCCTCCCCACGCACATAGAATAACTCACAATAAAATAGTACTTTGCGATCCTCTCCTAAAATGCCCCCCCCACAAAAAGCCTGAAAAATTGGCTGATTTATTTATTTTTTTCAAACCCCGAAGATCAGCCATCTTTAACTTGCAATGCGATGCTACCATAGCGGCAGATGATATTCATGATATATTTATAATCAGCTGGCTGGATTGACTCTTCATTGACTTTTGTTGTTTTTGACCTAATGACCTGAAGTCAGGTTTTCTCATCATAGGCTATGGAACCAAAACCAAAATCTTAAGATTTCCAAAAACTCCTCATATTTACTTGAGAACTTATCTCATCCACATATGCCATGGAATGAGTGAGTTTTGACATCTGCTCTTCAGTTATAAAGAGTAGCCACTCAAACGAGTGACAATACTATCAGCGAAACAGCCACCTCCTTGATGTCTCTCTGGTACTTGTTGTTCATCTCCTCGGACTTGATTAGATCCTTGCGGGCCGTCTCCAGCTCCTGCTCCACCTCGGACACGCGCGAGGCCAGCGAGGACATGCGCTCCTTCATCTGGGCCAGCTCGTAGTTCTGCTTCTCCAGCAGCTCCTGCAGCTCCAGCACCTGGCTGGCCTCGCTGACGGTCTCCATGGCGCCATTGGACAGACGCTGGGCACAGATAGACGGAAGGCCTGAGCGTCTGAGCAGCCAGAGGACGCGTCATACACCTCGAGCTGCGGGTAAGAGCTATACGATCTTATTACTGCCTCAGCAGGGTAAGAACTATCAGGAAGTCAGTGTTATTTAAGGAGATCATTTTGTCATTTATTTATATGGTCCACTTATCATAAAGAAGAACAATAGGGATTATATTAAGATATAATATTTCCTAGTGAGGCAAGGCCCATAAATGTTTACAGAAAAAGATCCAGGTTCCTGCTTCCTTCCAAGGTTAATTAAAGTCAAGAGCAAAAACAGTGACAACATTATATTGTATGAATGATTGCCTCATAAATACCAGAATAATTTTCAGCAGAATTTTAAAACTTTAAACCTAAACGCTTTTTGTGGTTACAAGCCCAGTATCATCTTAACAATGTGTATTACTTCTCTAACAGCTTCTGACAAGCAAACACAGGAATCACACCTTGGAAGGGATATTATATGCAAATTGCAAAAAATGGTTGCTGAGCACAATTGGATTCCTGCATTAGTCTGCAGCCTTATTTAGCTCCAGTTGGGAGGCCTTGCTTGCAGACACAATTTCCTGCCTTTCGCATTAACAAGGGGTTTCTTTTCTTGGATAATTCCCTCCACTACAGATGTTAACAATCCATCTGTGCTTACTTTGGTGAAGTAAAGACTGAGGATGAGTGTATAAAAGAGGCTCCGGGGAGCTGTGGGCTGACGATAGACCATAGCTACCTCATTGTCACTGTCATTACAGGCATGGCTATAATGCAGTCTGAAGATAATCAGTGAAGATTCTTGCCCCCATGGTTTGTAATTCTGAGCTCCCAGCTGGTGTCTCTAAATCAGGTGTCATATTTATCCAGCTTTAGTACTTTAGTTAACCAGTTAATTGTTTTCTGGGTGCATTTTGTGAAACCTGGTAGGACCCTGTTGGGTTTTCCCTATATGATGACCCATCTGGGCCAGCTGAGATTGGTTGGTTCCACAGTCTGGTCAGTGACGCTTCCTGAGAAGGACTGGGATGGACCAGAGCAAGCTTCTATGTCTGGATTCAGGAGAAGATGCTGATGCTGTCTGAGAGTGATGGACGAGGACTTCTGCTTAAAGCTGCTTCTGCTATACTGTTCAAGTACATAAACTAATACATTTTCTTGCTGGAATTGGTGCAGACATACAGGGACAATATGAACACAACAATTTAATAATAAAAGGAAAGAAGGGTATAATAATAATAATAAGAATAACAATAATAACAACAATAATAATAATAATAATAATAATAATAATAATAACAATAATAATAACAACAACAATAATAATAATAATAATAATAATAATCATGTAAATAGTACACATAAACCAAAACTGTACCTCATAAAATATAGTAAATAAATACAAATCCCAACTCTGACATACATTATATACATATAATTATATGCGATTTAGAGAAGTGCAGGTATGATTGCAAGTTCTACTAAGGAACTAAAAGACCAAATTCTGCTTGCGAAACCTGGATGGTGCACCTGCCTCTGGAAAGCCATTAGAAACCTTCTAGGCAATGCCCACCCAGTCCTCAAGGTCCCACAGATGGTCCACGTTTTTGCTCCCTCCCAGCTCCTTGCCAAACAGTCCACATCTGAAGGCAGCAAAAATGTGGACTGTCTGCGGGTCCCCGAAGACTGAATTGGAAAACACTTGAGTACCCCTGCAGTGGTGTCAAATTAAAGCTACTTTTGCTTTCAGACTGAGGATTTCAGAGTTTGTATCTACATGCCGGCATGAGAAACCTGGTGTAATATTGCTTCTTCTTTACTAGCTTACCTACTGCAGCTCCAAAGAAACAAGCGTTTGAAGCCTTTGTTGAGGCTCATTAAGTATAATGTATAATGTGGGTCAGGATTTCTGCTGCTTATTGAAAAAGGAAATGACCTCATTAAGGCGACTGCCATTTAAATAGTGTATTGTCTCATTCACCTTTTATGTTGCCAGTGATGAGCTTGACACACCCTTTCGACTTTGGTCTGGAATACAGATGGCAGTAATGGTGTATTTCTAAGCCACAGTTTTAACTCCCCATGTAAACCCATGGAACGAGTTATGGTTGGCCCACCTTGCTGTGCGCCTTCTGGCTGATATCGGCGCTCTCTGGCAGCTCCTCTGCACCCTCCCCGGATGCCACTTTCCTCTGGATGCGGGCATTTTCCTCCCGTAAGGCTGTGATCTGGGGAGGGGGGTTAGTAGGAAGGACCCAACCCAGATTTCAGTAATTGGAGACACACTGGGAAAACCCAGCACACAACAAGTAGCATTAGATCATCAATGAGACATCTCTTCACATGTGTAATGGTGACTTCTGTTATAACATGTGTCCCTCCAAGGTAAGGCATGATGCTCAGGATGATTAACATCATGATAACCGAGTCTCGTGAAACTCCTGGTTTGAGCCAGCCGGAACGTACAAAAAACATTTGCTGTCTTTTATATTCATGTGTTGCAGACAACATCAGCATTTAAGATTTTCTCGACTTGAGCTGCCTGTGAGGAGCTGCTGAATCGAACAGTGTTTACCGAGAGCATTATCTTTGGCTGGAGACCCGGGTAGTAAAACCAACAGGAAAACGTCACTTTGAAGGGAGAATAAACACGGCAGTAGGTTCCCTTTAGCTGCTTGTTTACTGGACTTTGTTTTGAATTCATTTTCTCAGCCAGGACTTTCACCTGAAGCAATTTTTGCTCATTTCACAGCTGGAAATATTAACAGGCCCATGCAGTTTAAATGTCTTTCCCAAGAATTCTGCAGCAGGGAGTCGGGCTTGAATGTGCAGTCTACACGCTCCCTGGTTACACAATACCTGCATGTCTATATGGCGCAACACGAATCACTCATGTAGCTTCTCAGCGTTAGATTTTCTACTGGCCAAAGAGACGTGTGTCACACCTCTGCAGAAAACAGGATTCGTGCAGAAGACTGAAGTTTGCCGTCAATTTCTACATCCTGCCTATTTCAATGCATTTTCTCCATCTAAACCACATAAATAAAACAATGATGTCATTCATTTTCGGAAGACACTTTGTCTGTTTGCCATCAGACCTTCTTAAGCCACTCCGATCATACTGTAGATCAATAGGCATCCCATTACTGATAAAGTTTACAGCTCAAAGATGCAGCGACGTGCTGTCATCTGGTACGACAAGCCCCAGGCTAATTCTGAAAATAAATCCCAGTAATTCTAACGTTATATTCCAAAGTGCAATGACACAGTGGACAGGCCTCATGAAGACGTCAGCAGTCAGTAGCGCGGATCACAAACCTAATTGCTTTTGCAGTGGCTTCAATCCAGCTGCACAATTGATTTTGCATTAGTGGTGATCAGAGAGGGCTCATAAATTCATAATTTGCTGTCATTATAAACACGGTGGTGTGGCAGATGCAGATATAGGGCTGAGGCTGTTTTTTGTTGCAAAAAATTAAATATCAACTCATTTTTAAAGTTGGTACCATTTCTCCCTCCTCAGATTATGAGGACAGGTAAAGACTTCGTTTCAGGCTAATATGCTATTGCAGAAATTTCGCTACACTTTTGCCAAACTGCTTCTTGACACCACTGTACTTATTCTGAATGTCTACAATGTTTACTTCATTTTAATTCTCAGTACATTTTTCTGTTCAATTCTTCATGACTGGTCTCATGATTATAATAATGATTATGTTCCTCAGCACAGCGGTGATGAAGGCTACATTTTTGCAGTGGTTTCACACATGTGATCACATGCCATACAGGTGTAATAAAACAGCACTGCGTTCCTTTAGAGACCAAATCTGATTGTGAATCAGTGTGTATTACACTCATTTCAATAGTACATGTTGTACATAGAGGACTGAACTGGAACTGAAATATTTCATTCACACTCAACACATTTATATGTAGAAATAACACAATATCAGAGATAGAAAGTTCAGGTTCAAAAAGTATAAATCCCGATCAAGGTTTTGTTTCAACTAACCAGTTGAGTATAAAGAGTCACAGTCACAGGGTACTCAGTGGGTTGGTTGAAACAAAATCGTTGGCCTGGATTTGTACTTTCCAAACCTGAACTTTCTACCTCTGCACAATATCATTTTTAAAATGCGTCATTTATAATAGGAAGTTTTGTCCATATTCAAGATTCTACCAAAGACTCTATAGAAAAGAAGCACAAGTTCTATTCAATCTTCCGCACTATGGATTGATGCAGGACCTTTAACTCATCACCCCGCAAAGCTCGGTGTGGATTCACCCGCCAGGAACTGAGCTTCTCTGAAGCACAGTGAGTCCTATAATCCTGTCCAGCAACAAGCACCCGATGGCAAACTTGCATCTAAAAGGTCAGGGATGGTGATATCAGTAAAACGGGATCTCACCCAAAAGTCTAGTGGATCTTGATTTAAAAACTCAACTGGGCAGATGAAGAACACTATGGCTGCCTGATATTGCATTCTGCTTGTGGGCTGTTTGATTTGGGAGAAAGTGAGACCTTGCCGCCGTGGGAAGGCAGTGTGTGAGAGACAGATAACAGAGACAGGCCGTAAGCTACGAGAGTGCAGGTGCGAGACGTCGGGGATGTTAGCAGGCTTACAGGGCCCAGTGGCCGGTACAGGAAGCGCAGATCCGCTTCCCCTTACCCTCTCCCACAGCTGAGACCTATCAGGTTGGGCTGGGGAGCAAATGAGAAGTGAAACTGACAGACATGCAACTGAGAAGGAAGAAACAGTCCATCCTTACTTCCTGATTGGCGGCCGTCAACTCCTCTTCCAAGGCTGAGACCCTCTCAAGTGAAACCCGCAACCTTTCCCTCACCTAAAGAGAAGAGTGCACTCAAAATTCAGGGGAAAGAAGAGCCAAATCCATCCAGCTGTAAAGTGAAGAGAGCTGGGCTTCAGAGGACAGACAGCAATGCAGTTATATAACTGCCGTGGTCCCCTCTGGGTCCTGAAGGAAGACCGGAAGCAGATACCCAGGACCGTGAAGCCTCCTTACCCTTGGTTTTGGATAATGTCTCCCTTCAACGTCAGGGTAATGCTAATTGGGGTGTGGGGGGGGTCCCTATATACATTTAGAATTACTCACTGGCACTGGGGGCATGATAACTGTGGTTCATCAGTTCATAAGTTATGATTAGAAAAAAAAATACTGCATTATGTGCTCTTTGTTTATGTAAATTGCACCAGTCCATTTTTATCACATTTGAAAAGTCCTTTCGGACAAACAAACAGATGATACATTAAAGAAATGTTAAACCCACAAATACACATACAATGAAGTATAACAAGAGCTTTTGACCTTTTCCCTACCTTTTCATCTAGTGCTTTGTGGTGTTCAAACAGTGACTTGAGAGCTTTGAGAACCTCAACCTCGCTGGAGACGCCAGAAGGCGACTGGGCCTGCCTCTTGACCACAGTCATGCGGAGCGATCGCTCGTGTCTGGACACCAGGCACTCCAAGTGCTCCAGCAGGAGCTGGGGGGGGGGGGGGGTAGAAATCTCAGCCGCATGGTCAAACACATGGTCAGCATGCGGTCAGCACTTCATATCGACTACTGACCCCTAGAAAGAAGTTCTAGGAAATAAATTTTACAAATACCATGTAAATCAGGGGTCTCCAACACCTGCTCCTGGTATTTACCTGAGAACTAGTGTGGCTCATCAGAAGCCAGGTAGGATAGAAAAGCTCTCCAGGACCGGAGTTGGAGACCCCTGATGTAAATATTATAATTCAAAAATATATTATTACCTGGTGGAGGAAAATTGTTTACAGAGTCTTGAACAATACTGCAGCCATTTGAGAATGAAAGACAGAAATGATCAGCGTCTAATTTGGACAGGTAATGTTCTGCGGGCTGATGGCGAGCAGATGGCTGGGCCTGTGCAATACCCAGGAGGTGGAGACGTGCGAATCTCAGAAGGGGAACTTCATGCAGCCTCAGAAGAGGTATGGCAGCCCCGGGATTCACCAGAACATTCACCTGAGATTTGCTTTCACAAGTGGGCTGCCAGGACCTACAGCAAACCCTTGCTACTGAGCCTGAGGTAGCAGGATGAAAATGCACATCATGCTATTACACAGGAACAGCCAGGCTGGCAGAAACATCGACCGCCGCATTCCCTCTGCTGCGCTGCTCTCCTGTGGCATTCATTAAAAACACTAAATGTGCAGACTTAGCTATAATGCTTTAAAAAATGTGCTAGGTGCTTCCTTCAGTGTTTAGGGGTTTTCTGTGTGGGTGTGTGTGCCCTGTGATAGAGCAGCCCCCAGGCTTCCCGCCATAGGCTGCACTGGAGGAGGGGTGGCACTGGAGGAATGGGGTGACACTGGAGGAATGGGGTGGCACTGGAGGAATGGGGTGACACTGGAGGAATGGGGTGACACTGGAGGAATGGGGTGGCACAATGGAGGAAAGGGGTGGCATGAGGAGGAGAGTCACAACAGAAAAATGGAAAGGCACTAGAGGAGGAGTGTCATGACAGAGAATGGGGGCGGCACTGGAAGAGCAGTGTCATGTTGGAGAAGCGGAATGGAACTGGAGGAGTAGTGTCACAATGGATAAAGGGGGCAGCACTGGAGGAGGAGTGTCATGATGGAGAAAGTGTCACGACGGCATGATGGTAAATGTTGTGCAATGGATTCCGCTAGAAGTCACCACACTGATCTGTAAAGCTGTCCGTCCATGTATATCATCCAGATGATGGGCAGACTGAGACCCCTTGTCACTGCCTCATGCTGTTTAACCAATCAGAACCAAATTTTCAGCCCTATTCCCTGACTTAGCTGCCATTCTGTGATATCACTAAACATGCCTCAACTGCTCCTATGCTTCTGGCATGTCACCTCTGCGTTACTGACAATCAAACTCTGCAGATATACAACACTGGCTATCAGCTCTGCATGGATCCTGCAATCATTCCATCTCATCCGTACCATCTGACGAATCAATCCAATAACAGACAACGCAAAGGACGTTCTGACTTGTATCAGCGATCCTTGGGAAGTCGTGGCCCTAGAAGACTCGATGCGGTAATGAAAACAGGCGATGAATATGATATGTCTCTCTGGTAGACTGGTAGTGACACGTTCACTGGATATGCTCCTGGTCATCAGCCAGATATTGGCTTGCCTGAGCTGGCTCCAGAAGAGCCTGGAGCTGAGGAGTGAGGTGTGAGGAGTGAGGTGTCAGCCAGCTGCCCATCTAGCTGGTACTTACCCGCGTGTTGTTCCGCTCTGCCTTCAGCTCGGAGATCTCCTCCTCCTTCTCCAGCAGCTGCTCCCGGCAGGCATTCAGCTCCTTGGTGAGAGCAGCGAACTCCTACGGAGGACACACATGATAATCGACCATATCAGGCCCACACTGCCATCATAATGAATTATAACCTTAGATTTAGCTATTTATAAGCTTACTAGTCCCCTGAAGGCTTACATTTGTCTTCCTCTGCTTCAAAAAATAATTTAGGGTCATTTTTTAAAGAACCAGCACTCTTTCACAGAGGTTCCTTCACAAAATAAGGAACCTGGAAAGTGAAATCATCCCTCCGGGCCATTAAAAGACTATTAATCCAAGTTCACCTATAAACTGCAGTGATGAGAAACTGGCTTTGAAACACAGGGTTGTCGAAGGCTTGGGCGGAGGGCGATCCCAGTTAAACCAGTCCTGGACCCAGTGGCATCAGAGACTTTGATATGTTCTGTTTTTCTTGTATGGATGGATGAAGCCAAACTAATTATTGGGGAGATTGGTATACCCCCCCCATCAGCCCTGGTACCAACGATCCTGCCCATACCCAGTAAATGAAGTTCGATTGACCAGTTATGATCCAGTTATGATGAACGTGTATGTATCATAGGTATGACTGTATGAATTAAAGTTATGCTTCTTCAGATTTCGGTTATTTATATACATCAGAAAAATAACCACTTAACTATACTGTACATGTCAATTCCACAACCCTATAGCTGTACAGTGACTTAATTGTTTAAGCGCAGTGAACTGAATCAGATCTGCTAAAATGAATACAATTACAGAGAACAAGAGCTAAAACAGACAGTTTTAAAGCTTTATTAACACAGATTGTAACTATCAATATAAAACACATATTAAATCATAATTGTATTTGAATTTAATGTTAATTTATCCTAATTAAAGATCCAGATGGAAGAGAAACATCCTGGACTCAGTTTAACCAACAGATTAACCAATAGTAAGTGGTATTAATGATAGCTGATGACAGAGCCCCTAATAATCCCACCCACCGTCCAATCATTAATCGGTCAGTCCTTCCATTGTCCATATAAACTCATCCAGCAGAAGGTCACAGTGAGCTTTGAACGTACATATCGCGAAAGGGCCCAAGGTACTGTAGGGCACATCCAGGATATATCACCAACCAATAGTTGGAAAAATATTTACAGTATCATAAAAACACATGTTGATGTCTGAATATGCCATAGTTTTTCTAACCCTTACCCTTGCCTCAGTTTGTTATCCCTAACCCGGGGCCTTAGGGTGAATCAACAGGTAGTTGGAAAGTAGGCAATATGCTACTAAAGGATGCTGAATTTTGTTTTCTCATCCGTGTGTGGAGCAGAACTGTCATAAAAACACATATTGATGTCTGAAAGTGCCATAGTTTTTCTAGCCCTAACCCTAGCCTCAGTTTGCTAAGCCTAACCATAATTTGGGGCCTTAGGGTGAATCAACATGCAGTTGGAAAGTAGGCAATATGCTACTAAAGCATGCTGAATTGTGGTTTCCTATCCGTTTGGGGAGCAGGACTGTCATAAAAACACATGTTGATGTCTGAATATGCCATAGTTTTTCTAACCCTAACCCTAGCCTCAGTTTGCTAACCCTAACCCGGGGCCTTAGGGTGAATCA